TTTAAACAAATATGTTTTACTTTTCAAGTAAAAAATATATGTAGTTATCTTTTTACATCTCAAGCAAAATATTTACGCAAGTCCCTCTTCAATACGCCTCTGTTTCGCCTACATATGTAAGCCTTTATACGGTTTATTTACATACGTACAAATATTTATCAGCTTTAGCGATCCACACGAAGTAAGAAATTCAAGAATTTGTTATTTTTATGAAGAAAAAATAAGCAAAAAAGGAAAACTCTGCACAAATTCTGAAACAAAGAATAAATTTGTATAAGTACGAGTATTTCTAAAATTTCGAAATATATATTTTAAAAGACAAATGAATAAAATTTGTTGTTTTATATCGTCGCTCGAATAAAGAAACAGTGTAAATGCCACATACACTATTATTCGATAATTGCACCATTGGATAGACAATCCTTTAATCTATTATGCCGGATTTCCACTAGGCATTAAATGGCAAAAATGACAAATGACAAAGTCGGGCATAAAAAAAAAATCGTGTCATTACATTAAAAAAATACTAATTAAGTTCATTTCCACATGGCATTTTTTCAAATGGCATACATTTTTTGTCATTTCAATGCCTAGTGGAAATTAGACATTAGAAAAAACTTTAGTTTTCTTAAATATCTCTTTGGCTCACTGATTTATTCGCGAAAAACGAAATTGTGTTTGTAGGGTTTGTAATGGTTTATAAAAACTTCCAATTCGTTTTTCTCAAAACTATACTTTTCATGTTACACTATTTCATTATTCCAGCGACGATATGTAACTGAAGAACTCAGTGAGAGGGGTGACCAGTATACATATGCATATATATGTACATATGTTTTTTTATAGAAAATATTTATTGAACCAAAAAGTGGTGGGTAGGCACTGTTGCTAATGATAATCAACTATTACCACGTATGCATGGTTGTAAGCCACGCATAGTTCGCAAAATAATCCGGAAGCAGTGTCCGAGTGCCGAGCATGCTTTGAAGTGCCATCAAAATATAACTTCAGAAAGTTTTATCACATGGCAGTTGAGAGGTGCATGTGCAAAAATTTCATAAATTTAATGAAGGAAATATTTGCACGTGCAGCAGTACATAGCATACATTTAGGAGCTTGGTGTTAGTAGTCGCGCCTGCTTTTAACAAATTAGCACCGAAATTCAAAACGATATAGTTCGCAACTTACTTTTATTTATTTATTTTTAATAAGTTCATTTAAAATATAATTCAATATATAACAGACACCACATAAATAAAATTTCAAAGCCTGGACAAATTTCAAAAAAATTTATCAAACTTAAAAAATATTGTCATCGAAATTTCCAAATTTTTAATCAGAATATTTGGAAAATATGTAGTTTTGTATCCCATTTATTTTTAGTCTATAAAGTGCAAGTTTTCACAAATTTTTTAGAATTTTTTTGTGGCGGGTGTTGCGCATTTTCTCGTGTGATCAAAATCTATTTTATATGAAAAAGAGATTTTTTGGCGGCCGCTGAGGTGTAGTGATTAGAAGTGCATTCAAGCCCGGTTCAACCCAGCATCAAAAAATAAAGAACAAAAAAGTTTTTTTTAGTATGATTTTTGATTCTTCTTCGCTAGAGCTTGCCAAACATTGCCAACATACGATTTTTTGGACACATTGACCACGTTTTTCTCAAAATCTGGAGCTATTGCAACCTTTATACCTACGAATTCGCAATCAGCTAAAAATAATAATCTATCAAAAACAGCAGAGATCGTCAACGATTTTTCTTTACACTTTAGTCCACTCATTCTGTGGTACGCTTAAGTTGGAGCCGGGAAAGTAAGACTCTATTCCAGATTTATTTCAAGCAAAATTGGCAAAACTTAGTTCCTTCTCAGATGCGAGGCATCGTTTTACATAAACATGTTTCGGAATGCTGTCAGACCCGATTTGTTTACCGGCCAGCGCAAACTAATTTGAATAATTGCACTCAAGTTCCGTTTAAAAAGAACATAGCATGTATGTACAATCCACTAAAGTTAATAAAAAAAGCAGAATGTATATATACGTCACTCATACGCCATGTTGGCCTTGAAAGTACAATGACACAAATAAGCCCAAAGTAAACAATGAGACCTGCAATAAGTGTGCTTGCACATCTCTGAGCGTAAGACTTCAAAACGTTTTTGCGAAGAAGTGTGTCACTTTTGTCATTCCCCTTTATTGTACATATGTATGTACATAGATTCGATGACTGGCAAATAAATACAGAAAAATTAAATTAAGTAAGTATTTAAGCTAAAAGAGTGTCACTTCTGACTAATGGGGGCAGTAAATACTCAATATTCGTATGCTCGTTTCCCACATTAAACAATTCAAGAAACATAACATAAAACTGATTTAATCAAAAAGTGTCAGCTATTTTTGCGCTGATTGGATGCAAAAAAAATAGAATAACTTACCTTTTACAATAAATAGTATAAAACGCTACATAATTTTTTTTTGTACAAATTAAAGTTTATTTAAAGCAATTTGCATCTGAGTGCGAATTAAATTAGCGGCAATTAAAAGACATAAAACACAAGCGAATGCAGAAAGACACCGCGAGCGAACGAGTAAATAACACTTTAATTTTTTCTTGCGCTGAGTTTGACATTAAAATTAAAATTGTTTACTTAATACTTGCATACACACCTAAATACATACATACATATATGCAGTTACGTATGTTTATAATCAATATAACAAATGCTACTTAACTGTTACCTTCACCTTCATTTCACAAATTTTTATTTAAGGTTTAATCAATTTCTTAATTATTATGCATCTACGGCAGCGACGGGCGTGTATAGCCAGGTGCTTCTTCAAGCACAAAATGCATATCAATACAAACACACACACCATACTCACACATACACATATACATACATACTTTCTAATAAATACATAGTTGATATTATTATTTTCATAACAACGCATAGACGACTACTTGAACTACCAGCGTTTGGTCAAAGAAGCGACTGGCCAAGAATACTTATTTGATTGTTTGTTTGTTAAGCTTGTCAAGCGAAGCGAATAATGCAAAGTTGTTTGGTCGGTTCTATGCGTAATTGATGAGCGCATTTGATTAACATAAGAGACATCTATTTACTGAGTAATATATACAGACAAATATGTAAATATGTGCATTAGCATATTCATATATATTAGCAACAACAAAACTTTTGCTATTGGTGATAACCACAATCAAAGACAGAACTGGCAAGGCTTATCGTCACCTAAGGGTGAAAAGGTTTTAAGTCCATTTTTTGAAATTATGCAGGAGAAACGAAAAATCGTTGTAGTTTCGTATTACCTGCCATTCTGCACCAAAATTTAATTAAAAAAAAAAAAATGGACTTGGCACCTTTTCACCTTTAGGTAGCGTTATCTACTTAATTGTAGTAGTAGATAGTATGACGCTCAGCTTAAGTTGCGTAAATATTTTTATCTCAACGTAACCGGAAATTGTTTGGCAAATAGCAAGAACATTGATACGGTGGATTTAGTCAAATAATGGTGATTAAAAATAATGGTTAACGGCAATAAAAGTTGTTTGAAAAGGAGAGAAGAGGGCATACCGAGGCATAACTCAGCTGATGACAAACATATTGTTGCTATGAAAATGCATTAAATTTATTGAAAAAATGGTACAGGTAATGTGTAATGATAGAGTAATCGTATGTTAATTGTAGTACTTGTGGTAATCGGCATGTGAGTGCTAATGCTAGCGCTAAAATTAACGATAATGGTTTTCTTTTGGTATGGCATAGGTAATGGTAATGGTAATGGAAATTGTATGATATGATAATGGTAATGACATGGTAATGGTAATGGTAATGGAAATGATATTGATGATGGCATGGTTAATGGTTATTGTGGACTGGTAACGGTTGAGTAATAGATAAGGTGTTGGTAATTAAGTTTTAATAATAATGCTAATGGCGTTATACTAGTAATGATAATGGTATGACAATGGCATGGTAGTGGTATTGTAATATTATGGTAATGTTATGTTTATGGAGTGAAAATGGTAAGTAGTTGTATAGTAATTGTAGGGCAATGTAATGGTTAAGTTATGGTAGTAGTATGGTAAAGGTGGTGGTAACAGTAAGGTAATGGTATGGTAATGGCATGAATATAGTATGTTGATGGTGTGGTAATTGTAATGTAAAGATAAGATAATAATATGGTAATTGTGGTGATTTTTTTTTATGTATAAAATGATCATTACAGTAATGTTTCTAGCTACAACAAATCTCATTAGAAAACATGCATCTATATTACATAAAACTTTTGACTTTTGAATGTTTTTCAGAGCACTTCGAGATTTTTTCTACTGAGACCGTATGGTGATTTTAAGAAACTTTTCGGGATGTTTTAACTCTAAAAGGGTACTTAATCCTTAGTTTGCTCTTTAAGTAAAAAAATTTGTAAATTAATTTCTGATCAAAAAGTTTTATTAAAATTTCGAAATTTATTTTTTTTCTTTTTCTTTTTTTAGCTTGTCACAGATGCAATAATTCAAATTCTATTCCAAATTAGCAAATACCCGGCGTGCTTCACTGCGCCTTAAACGTATTTTTGTGTTTTGTAATATTTCATTTATTTTATCAATTTAATTGAATAAAATTTTTCGAATATGTGGCAACCCCCCTCAAAAACATTTTCGGCTGTACGCTTTCTTAAACCATTTTCTTTTGGCAGCCATATTGCAATATTTACTCTATCTTATCGATTTTCTTAAACTGCAATTTTCAAACAGGTGGCAACTCTCTAATTATTTTCTTTCTATATTTTGGCCTCTGTCAATACATTGGTGAAAACTGCATTCAATTCCTTGCATTTGTTTTCGAGTGATGCGCATACAAACATACAGACAGACAGACGGGCAAAAATTCTAAAAGTTGTTGATTTGGCTTCTCTTGCTCTAATAAAGACCCCCCTATTAATTTTTCTTTAAAAATTATAATTTACAGACATCGGCCTGTTACAATTTTATTATATGTAAGAGAGAATCGTAAAAAGAGGATCTGGATTTATTTTCTGTATGCATACGTACTTTGTTTAATCATCGAACGGAATTACTTTACTTCCTCTAGGAAACAAATGCAAAATGTTGACTTTCTAAACCACCGAATAGCTCAAAGTGTGTAGAAAAAATGCTGAATCAAGGGTAAGCGCTATCGCCAATTAGTTGCGAAAAACTACTCCACATCGCAAAGGAAACACAAATCGACAATTAACGACCATTTCTGTTACCATTTCACGTTTTAGTGCCAATCGCATATCGATTACATGTCCACTTTTATGAATTTATATTTGTGCTCTTGCAAGCGGCTTGCAGCAAGCGATATTTGATATGCATGCGCCGTATAACGGAGTGGCGTAAATTAGGCGAGGTCTTCTGACGCACTCGCTGCTTTTATTTATTTACTTACAATACCCTCAATTGAATTTGGTAAAAATTTTGCGAGTGACTTAACAATTGCAGTTCACTTAGTTTTTCGGTATAAAAGGTAGTTTTATTTGGCAAGGGAAGCATACCACCACCACAGTTCCTACAGCTAAGTACAAGCTAACCCTAAACAAAAGCAAAATGTTCAAATTCGTAAGTGTTTTCCGAAAATCTCTGCTAAATAAGCGCACGGTTTTTAAATTATTATTTCTTCTTCCAGGTGATTGTCGTTCTTGCCGCCCTCATCGCTTGCACCTCAGCCAAACCCAGCATTGTGGCGCCATTAGCAGCAGCTCCTTTCGCCGCCGCTGCCTACGCCAACGCACCACTGTACGCCGCTGGTGGCAGCAGTCAAATTGATGTTCGCAACAACTACGATGGCACACTATCTTCGTACACCACAACACCATTCCACTACTCCGGACCCTTCTCCAGCCGCTATGTTTCGGGCATTCCAGCTGCCTACGCTGCTGCCGCACCTGCTCCCTTAGCCGCGCCGTTAGCTGCTCCAGCTTTTGGTAGATACGCTGCGCCAGCTGCTTTCGCGGCTCCCTCTCCATTGGCTGCTCTACCAGCTCCTTTTGCCGCTGCGCCTGCCCCTCTGGCTGCTGCTCCTGCTCCATTTGCCGCTGGTCTGCCTGCTCCGTTCGCCGCTGCGCCTGCTCCTTTGGCTGCTGCACCTTTTGCCGCTCCCTATGCATCCGCTTTCGCTGCTCCAGCCCATTATGCGTGGTAGAGAAGTGAAAGTTACAGGAAGTAGTGGATGACCAAAACACGAAGATTGTTGGCATTTTGCTTGCAAACTAGCTCCAATTCGAACTGATTACATCTATTAAAAGAATAATAAATTTATATTGAATATGATATAATGCATTTCTCTTTAAACTTTGGGCGACAGCGTCACAGCAAGCTAAAATTGGTGCTAGAGTAAGTTACAAAAACTGCACACACTTGACATCAAAGATCATAAAGTGAAAGTGTTTCCAGGGACAAAATTTGGATTGTGTCGATTACCCAGTTAGTGCAGCCTACATTTTAATAAAAGGTACTTGAGTAGGTATGTACATATATGTATCTACATTTGTAGAATGTAGGCCTTAAAGTTGTCAAAAAGGTGGGGAATGGTGGCCCTCTTTTGTGGAATCTTTTCTCCCAGTAACTTCCGGATGCTACTAATTGTATTATTTTTTCTTTCGGAATCGCTGGAATACGATTAGCCGCCCTTCGGCGTCGCATAGTGTTCTATTTTGGAAAAATCTCGAGAACAAGAGCTTTTCAGATGGAAAATTCAGAAAGAGCATTCTCATTGGATAAAAGAACAGCCTTTACTTTTAAAATGACCTCCAAACATATAAGGCTTCAAATTTGTTTCTTTTTGGACTTGAAACCGGTACGCAGTGAACGTTTTAAATTTCCAAGGCATCCAATTCCATGGTCGCAAAAACCGAAAAAAAAGAATTTTAAATTATTTTAAAAAAGTTAATTTCAAGCTGTTTCCAGGTAGAAAACATAAAAAAATAAAAAGGCTAACTTTCGGCGGTTTCACTTTTGAAAGGTATCATTGAATGAAAAATTACCTTGAACTCGAAATCGACCTTCAAAAGTAAATTTTTTAATTTTTTCTATTTTTATCTAAAACTTACATACAATTATCCTAAAAACATTTAGATTCGTTTGTTTACTGCGACCATAGAAATAGATTCCTTCATACTGCAACTGGATTCAGGTTAAAAAAAAAATATTAAGACCTTCTATATTTGAAGCTCATTTGAAAAGCCTAGCCAATTTTTTTATCCAACAGTACTCATCGACTGAGTCTCTCTTCCACCACGAATCCGACAACGAATTTGCACTTTCATACATGGCAGCTGTAGTAACGGTCGCAAAGTCCCCAAGCTGGAGGTTCGCCTTTCCACATTAGCTCGTCTCCAAACGGTCTAGCTTCGTGGCTTTTTAATGCTACCTTTTTTATAAGTCATTTTCATATATCTAGTATTCTAGTGTTAAATTGTTAACATTTTTAGTGATCATCTGGTCACAATGGTTACCTAGAGGATACTTGGCGAAAACACCGGAAGTCCTGAGCTGCTCCAACCGGATGCCAAGTACATTCTTTGGTCCTTTGCTGGTGAATGGCGATCAAAAACTTTCCCAACATACCTTGGCCTCTGCATCCGGAACCATGCGCCATGCAAACTTTTTTTTAGATTTTGCATGAAAAGGCTATCTGGTGGCTGATGCACTTAGGCTCAACACTGGCCAAGATAATAATTAACCCTTTGCTTAATACAGATAAACGTGTTCGTAACTACGGCAGTGAGGGTGCATAGCGGACTTATTTGAAGCAGGAATTTGTAAACAGACTAAAGTTCTATAAATAAAATAATCGCTCGGCCAGAAGAAATTTCAGGGTCAAACTAAATATTATGAGTTTTCTTAAAGTATGTAGTCAGACATTACCAATTTATTTCATTAAGTCTCCAAACAAGTGCAAGTGTGTCAGCATTAGTTTATGGAAATGTAAACACAACAAACACAATTTTATTAATACTCACTTATGAATACATACATACATACCTACATATGCCCATAGCAGAAGAGCACACGCGCTGTGACATAATCAGCGCACATAATTGCAGCATATTTTATTGCATAGAAGACTTTGCACCCAACTAAAGCAATTTTATGACGAACAAATTAATGAATCGAATAGTTTAATGTAGAAAAAAATCAAAATACCTCAACGGAACTATTGCGCGCATACATTTTTCCGACCTTTCTTTCGCATTGCATATTAAAGAGTCAATGGGCGCTGGCCACCGCCGCAAATGGTCACCTACACAAGTTTATTGGTAGTAATTAGCGCCACAATGGAATTGGTTGGGTCGAAAGTGAAATGTCCGCCAGTCAGTGGGTGGTTGAGTCATTTTGGGCAACGTAACTATATTTTCATATAAATTGGCGCATCAAATATTAATAATTCATTAGCAAGGTAACATTTGCATAGACAAGTGGGCACTTTGGTAAGCAACCAGTAAACTTTAAACTCTAAGAAAAATTAAGTAAAATGGCGCACATGAAAATTGTAAGTTTACTTATTGCATTTAAAAAAAAATATTGCATTTATTAATTTATCCTTTTTTTCCTTTTCGCAGGCTTTTGCTTTGCTAGGCATGGCTGCATTGACCATCGCTAAGCCATCACATCCTTTTGCGCTGCACACAGCCATACCAGATCATTTCGATTTTGCACCACCTGTACTGCCGCCTACGCAGTTCCATGCCGCTGCACCCGCTCCTGAACCCTGGTTGCCCGCACCGCATTTCCATGCCGCTGCACCCGTTCCTGAACCCTGGTTGCCCGCACCGCATTTCCATGCCGCTGCACCTGTTCCTGAACCCTGGCTGCCCGCGCCACATTTCCATGCCGCTGCTCCGGCACCTCTACTGCCTGCACCTACGCCATTCTTCGCTCCAGCGCCATTTTTCCCAGCACCAGCCCCAGTTCTTCCCGCTCCTGCACCCATTCTCCCAGCTCCTGCACCCGTTCTACCAGCTCCTCTTTTGCCCGCTCCCGTAGTACATCATCATCATCATGTTGTGCCTGCCCCCCTGCCAGTACCGGTTCTCGCCCCACCAGTGCTGGAACCTGCACCATTCATTGCTCCCACATACCGCGCCATTCCGGGCCCTAAGACCACCACACATCATGTATCGGTCGGTTATGCCTTCCCTACAGCTCATGTGGCCAAAATTGTAGGCCACCATCATCATCATCACTCACTCTTCTAACTTCCTTTGGTACAAAGAATAAAGGATTAGTTAGAGGCAAAAGGATGCTACTTTCGCGCGAAGTCAAAAGCAAACGTTACCAAAGTTATTTGCGTGTATCCCCTTAGAGAGTTTAGCTTTTATTTGCTTTGGCTCGATTGTTAATTTATTTGTGTAAGTTTAAAATACATACATACATATATGTATACTATTTAGCATAGTATTTTTTATATTTATATTTTGCGTTAAGGATTACATTTGTAGTTGTTATCCAATGTATATTGTCGAATTTTTAGGATAGTAAATAAAATGATGGGTATTCCTGTGTGTACAAAGACAATCTATAAGTAGTTATTTGATTTTTTTAGTGCTGGCTAAAATTCTTAACATACATATATACATTAGGGTGGTTCAACATTTTTTTTCCAAATTTCTAAATTTTTAAAGACGTTTTGAAACCGAATTGTTTTAATCTACTCACATTTATAAGTATTTAACAAACACAGTGGTGTCCATAGGGTAACTAAAAGAAAATCCGGCACCGGTAGTCGAAATATGTGGGCCCCCATTCCCAGAACAAATTGTTTAACGAATTTCCCACGGTCCCACCATGTACTCGTTTAGTGCTTTTGGAAATAAGTAGCCTTACCTTAATTTTCGTAGTACGTAAATATATGGAGTATTTTATTTAAACACTTCGTCTAAAGAGAGTATTGTTTTTGCAGGTCAAACTTATCAACTTATCAAAATATTTTTATTTTTCAACTTAATTTTTAGAAAAATGCGAAAACTACGCGGAAGATATTTGGAGAATTCTTCCTAGAAAAATTTACGAAGGAAACAATCAATTATAAAACTTAGATGAGTTGAGAGCATGATGGGAGCAAATGGATCTTGACCTGGTAAAAACTTAGTACTCATTAATGATTGCGGAAACTTTAATAATAAAAAAAACTAGTAGACGCAGAAACTATGACAAGTATTTTTTATATGCAAACTATAAAAGTGATGTGCATAGCTATTTGTCAAACAAAACCAGGGTAAAATATATCTTTCCATTGTTTTCACAACGCCTCTGAGAATATAGTAAACTTAATTTGTTGGTGTTTGCTATAAGCTTAGTCAATGTATGGTAGAAAAATTTGAAGTAATTAACTTTTAAATTAATCAGCGGAAATTGGCAAAGCATTTACTAGGCCACACCATAAGTTTTATACCCAGTGGAAAAAGTAATGTATAGTAATCGAAAAAATAAGCGGTAAAACAGTCGTTTTTACATTCGAAAATGCATTATTTTCCCCACGTCGATGTCCTAGGAAAAGTGGGCATTCATTTTTGCATTACCAGTAATTAGAAATATATTACATTATTTATCACGCATGTAATGCATTACCACTTTTCCCGCTGGGTAGTTTCTGGTATGTTTTTAGTTTTCACTCCTGATTCCTCGACTCAGATCTCTTTTTCTCTGAACTTATAAAAATTACGATACTTATAGAAGTCCTTTTTTGCTGAGATTTCCGATTTCGTTTCTAAGAGATATTACAGTTAATCGTGGAGTTCTGAATCGAAAACCTTAGCTAATGGGATGCTCCCTTTTATAAATTTCAACCGTCCAAAGTAAACAAAATAATTTCTTTCTGACGGTGCTGCGCATTTTTTCCTTGTTAAAGAAACTGTCGAGCATACTTTAACGATATGAAAGGAAATGTTAAAAAAATTATTAATTATTAAAAATCAACGAAATTTTCTAGCGTCTTGAAACTTGCACTTTAATGGGCTATAAAACCGCATATCTGAATTTGAATTTTACATTTTTTGGCTGTAAAAATTTCAGATTTGAAAGTTTGAAATACATATCGTCGTTTGAAGTACAAAACCGCGAATCAAGATAATGCAAGTCCTTGTATTTGAGGTTGCATAAATTATTTTATAGAGAGTAAAAACAGTGATATTTTTATAAAGCAGTCGCATTTCTGGCTAGTATATTTCAGGACGAATGGATAAGGATTAAGCCAAGAGCTTGTGTGAGCAAATCTAATTTTTGGCCGCCAATCTCATTTACGCGGTTTTGCAAAATGACGATACGCGGGTTTGTACTTTAAACGACGATGTGGGTTTTTTTGGTGCTGGTTACATAATTGGCTAGACTTTTATAAAGAAAAAATATACATTAAATGTACAAAAGAAAAATAGCCGAAATGGTGAAAATGACATTTAAATAAATCAGCTGATCACAAGTGTATGTCGAGGAGCTTGAACATGCTTTTTTTATCACTCCATCGCAGTGAGTTCAAACGAGTAATAGGAGCATCAAGAGACAACATATTGGATTAATGTTGTTTGGATACATACATATATGTATATCACTACACATGTATCTGCTAATACATAAAGACTTGTCACTAGATTTAAAATATACTCTAAATGCAAAAAATGGAACTTACTTACACCTGCCATAATTTGTGAGCGGTCAGCTTATAGATTAATTTGAACGAAGCACTTACTTGAGTATTGATTTACACTATGGCTTGCAAGGAGCGACAGAGCAAGTCACTTGGGTACCTCATAATCTCCAGAGTACATGTTAATGTGGCTAGCAGACGTGCGAGCTTAATCCTCACTATTTAAACATATACATACGTAAGTTCATTTGTGTAGCTTTGGACATAAAAATCATAACTCAAAAATTTTATTTTTTTTCAGTTTTATAGACTAAACTATTGTATTTTAATAAACAAGCTTTTAGATTTTGCTACGATCTAACACTGATTCACAAAGTATAAAGAAAATATTCGCAAAAAGTTACAATTATTAATGTAGTAATGTAAGTCGTGCTTTTTTAACAAGTGCAGTTTCGGACGGTTACCGGAGTATGTGAAAATGCTCTAAAGAAGATTTATAACTTTTAAAACTTACACCACAGAAATTTGTAAAAAAAATTCTAACTAATAGGAGCGTTCCTTATCTCCCAGAAATAGTCAGAAAAAGTCCGAAGTAGTCAGATTTAGTCCAAAAAGCGTTCCTTAACTCGAAAATGACAGCAAAAATGAGAGAGCAACACTCAGTGAGAGTGACTCTCATCAGGCCGAAGTAGTCAGATTTAGTCAGAAGAATTGGACTAAAAATTTGGTTTTTTGAGTTCCTTTACTTTTCCTGTTATTCTCTTTTAGTGAGCGCATTGTGCTTACGCTCTGGCATTTTGACACTTTTGCAGATTTTAGTCCAAAAAGATAACGAATGAACCTAATATTAAATTGAGAGCTGTCAGTCGGAAAATGTCTTCTATGGACATTACGGTGGTAAAAAACAGAAGTAAAGTCGGAATTTGAATGCTTAATACCGAAAAAATTTATATATATGGAAAATTTGGAACGCTTTGAGGAACCTCTAAATATTTTTTGATTTCGAAATATAAAACATAGAATAATCCTAAGGGTGAGATCATTAAAATTTAGACTGTACTTTTTTGGTTTACTAATGGTTTATAGTACTTTTACATATACATATCGAGGGCTTATATTCAATACCCTCTATATGCGAATTTCATAAAAACTACTTTGTGATGTTAGAACCCATCTGGGACTTACCTGTCATTACTGATGTTAATTCTTACTTTGCAATTTAATAGTAAATTCTTCTGTCGAGCGTTTTACAAGGTCATCATTAATTTCACCGATGACAGTTAAGTCTTAGATAGATTTTTATATCACAATCTCATTTTTGTAAAAAGTGCAGATAGAGGGTATTGAATAGATAAGTAGAATTTAGTGATTTGACTATTCTATTTTTCATAGTTCTAATTTGATCAAAGTTAGAAAGAGTATTCGCTTGAATAGTAAAGCATTGACCAACGGGAACTTGTCTTCTTAAAAATTTTCCAGCAGGGTCAAAGTGAGTACCACAACAACACACGGCACGCATAGATTGGCAGCTAGTGCTGTAGCTGCTCGTAGTAAAGAACTCAAAGGGAAGTTGAAACCGTGTCGTTATCCATGTTATATAAATTACTTCATAGGTATATATATTTTACTTATACTAGCATACACTGGAACATACATTTGTAGTTAAGTGTGTGTTTGAATTCACATGAAATAATTCACTAATTTACAGCACGCAAAATTGGGAAACTAATTTGGCATGCAAGGCACGCAGGCAACTACCGTCTGGTGTTGGTTTGGCTGCTTGCTGTTGTTGACCACAGAATTGATGCAACCGGCAGTTGGCAGTACACGCAAACCAATGTATATATGTATTTATATATATGTGTGCATATAACTACATACTTTATACTTACGCACAATCAATATATATATAGGTACCATATATAATTATAAGCCAACTATAAGCAAAAGACACTGCGTAAGACGGCAGCATAAAGCTTTGATACAAAGCGAACAGCTGACCCCGAGCGAACAGTGTTTTGCGAATGTACAAAATGCAACACAAAATTTTATTCATAGAAATATCAAGAAATATATTGGCTTCGTTTATGTTAAGACGAAATTTGAACGCAATTGTTGGAAATTAAGTCTTCTTCCATATATTTTTTCTATCTTATAGCGATTTTTTCATGTCCACTAAGTTAGTATGCAAATATTACTTTGAAAATAATTCTGCCTCTAATTTTTTGAAGTTCTCATTGTGATGCATACCATTTGACATACAACAGATGTAAAAACGATTTAAATAGGGATATATAAATCATCAAGGTTAGCATAAAGAGCATGGTAACTCATCATACAAGCCATCGACAACTGCCCCTTCGCGCTTTCCGCTAATTTTAAAGTTAACATTTTTTTTTTAAGTTGACTAAATAAATATTTTAGCAGACCATGATTTTCTGTCAAAATATTTTACTGTAGTGTAGTAGGTTTGTTTTACTAAACAGATAGATACACTTTCTATTCACGATAAGTGAAAAGATGGTTAACTTTCATGTTCGTAGCTGCCTAAGAAAAGGAGCTATATTGCCAGTACCGACATATGATTAATGTCGTACCGAATGTCAGTCGACACACAGATAGACGTACATGGCCAAATTGACTCATACAACCACCGTTTCGGAAATGAAAACAGCCAAAAGGAAACAAAATTTACGGCCTCCTGATTATTTTGGTATGATTTTTTGCCACTTACCTATTTCCCTATTTCCTAAAATACCACTATGTCCTGGAGCCCAGTAGAGATTGGCTGTCTGCTAACTAGGGATGGCATTTTTGTCCAATTTTTGAGAATTTTTTTCGGTGACAGATTTTTGCACTTTTTCTATACGCAACAAAATAAGCAAGGCCAGTTTTTGTAAATTGCATTGATTATATATAAAAAAAAACTGCAAAAGCAGTCTCCAAAAAAATTTAAAAAATCAACGCGATTTTTCAAACTGTTGAAACTTGCACTTCTTTAGACTGAAATTGTATGGACTATAAAACTGCATACACAAAAATGTTCTGTTTCAGATTAAAAGGATAAAATTTTTATAAAAACGTGTTGAATTTTACCAAATTTTGTGTCAAGCTTGGGCGGTATTTTTTTTAGAAAAATAACAAACAAAAAAACATTTGCTCAAAAGACATTACGAATATAAAAAAAAAAAATCAACAGGTCACTTGTTTGAGTCACTGTAAGTGTTACCATTCGAACCATACGGTATCTATTTTCTGATATAAAAGCTCATAACTACATATTTAACATATTTATGCCAGTGGTCTTAAATTCACCCCACTGTACGTACATAGTAATAGTAACTAGTCGACGTGCGGCAATAAAAAAGTCACTTGGCATAGTTTGCTATCGGTTGATGTCTAATAACGGTAATTCGTAGTATACCAATCGATTTGCCGAGCCAATAAAAAACAATTTGCCGGCAAGTATTAATGGAAATTAAATTATTTCATTACTACCGTCGATTACGCAGGCGTTGATTGCGGGCGGCAGCTTGTGACACTTGCGAGTAGATGTACAAACTTACGTAGCTATTTCGCACACATACATACATACATAGGGTAGGTATGAACGAGTGTATGTTTTGTTGACACTCGGATGCACTTGGGGGCACCAAAGTGGAATGGGAACGCACATAAACGCACGAAAGTGTGACAAAGGCCAAGCTAGGCGTGCAGACGTGTACTGTACGCTTGTGGTAATACATACAGTTTGTTGCAATTTTATGGCCACAAAAAAACCGAACTCTATTTGGGTGTATTAAATAATTAAATTTGCAATTGTTTTAGGCGAATTACTATACATTTGTATTGCCTCATTAAAGGGCTTGTGGAAGCGTGCGTTGAGAGGGGGGTGGCAATGCACCACGCATAACGGCACGTGCTATATATTTCTCAAAAGTTATTCCAAATATTTATTGCTGCATTTTCAAAGTCATTCGCTAAATTTTTGGTCTATTGTTTATTTGTTTATTTTTGTATTAGATATTATTATTTTTCGACAACAATCAATTGCACTTCTTATAAAAGTTACCACAAAGTGCGCAATATGCATCAAAGTCGTTCACACCATCGGGCTATTAACATCAGCTCACAAGAAATTTTCTACCTCAAACTAAATAAAAAAAAAAAAATCACATAAAATGGCCTGTAAATTTTTGGTAAGCTCCTTTTTTCAATTTAAATATTTTTTAATCATGGCAACCCATTTTCCTCTTTTTGCAGCTAATCGCTTTGTTCGCCTGCGCCGCTGTAGCCAATGCTGGTCTACTGCCTGCTGCCGCTATTGCGCCCGGCATTGTCGCGCCCTACGCATCCTCGTTCAATGCTCATCACATCAACCATGCTGTAGCGCTACCAGTCGCACCAGCACCCTTAGCTGTAGCCGCGCCACCTAGGTTAGCTTTCGCTGTGCCTGCCCCTATTGCAGCACCTGTTGCAGTAGCGCCAAGAGTAGCTTTTGCCGCCCCTGCGCCAGTTGCTTTCGCTGCGCCCGCTAGATTAGCGGCTGCACCGCTGGCTGCGCCCTTGGCTGCTCCTTTGCCATTTGCCCCAGCTGCATATCCTTTTGCTCCAGCACCTCTACGCTTTGCCGCGCCTGCGCCCATTCTGGGTTAAATTAAATGAATACATACATAGAGTACCTGAACTAAACTTTTAAATACGAACATAACTCGAGTGTACATAGATAAATTATGATTTAAAATTATATATTTTTTTTATTAAATATTGATTCAAAGATAATGCTAATCTCAATGAAAATTAATTAAAAGTAGAAGAATAAAAAATCGAAAATTTTTAATTGGTTTGTGGAAGCCCTATGAACGGGCTACGAAGCTTATTTGTAGCAGAAGTACGCTTGCAGGGTTTTCATTGCATATCGAGGGGCGACGGCTTTAAAAAAACAAAACTTCCAACTTTTTTTCAGTTTAATAGTCTTCTCAAGACAATAACGAAAAATTGTTCAGCATAAGGTCTAAAGCAGTGATGCTCTGAGAGGACTCTGTGCGCGTCCATATAAAACAGCGATGGGCATAGAGAGCTTTTACTCTACGCGCGGCTATGTAAAATGTGTAGAAAGCTTAAAAGAACTTTGCCCGCGGGCAAGGCAGTGCCCATGAAAGATATAAAATCTACAGAGAGCTTTGAAGAGTTCCGCCCGCGGGCGCTGTTTTGGGCATCACTGATCTAAAGCATAAACTACTAATTGCTTGGCGCGCAACTCCTCGCATTCGCCAAATAATAACTACAAAAAATGTTTAATGCCGCATCCAATATGGCGGACGTACTTTTGATGCTTGATTTTCTCATGGGCGCAAATAAGTTTAATTTTGTAGGACAGTGTTATGTACACTGCCAGAACAAAGTATTGGCACAGCAAATTTTTCACCATATATGCAATAATTTTCATTCTAATATTTTTTCGCTAATTTCGTATAAAAATATGGTTAATTCTACAACAAAAAACATAAAAACATAATTCCAGAACTTTGTGCAAAACTCGCGAAAATTCAGCAAATTTTCATGATTTCGTTGATTTTTGGCAATTTTTTTCACGCAGTCTCTTCCATACAAAAAATATTTTTTATATGGAAAAAATGCAAAACACCTTCAACAAAAAAAATTCTCAAAAATCAACGCGATTTTTGACTAACTCCAAACTTACATATTTTTTACAAGAATTTAATGGGCTGCAAAACTGCTTACTCAACAAATCTGATTAAAAAGTTGAACATTGTGATGAAAATTTGCTGAATTTTCGCGAGTTTTGAACAAAGTTTAGGAATTATATTTTTATTTTTTTTGTTATTGAATGAACCATATTTTTATACAAAGCTTTTTAGAATAAAAATTTTTGCATATACTGTGGAAAACTTGCTGTGCCAATACTTTGTTCCGGCAGTGTAACTGTCTTTGATACTCATCTAATGTAAACAAAATCACACCAGGTATACATATGTACATATGTAGATACGAGTATATAGACATTAAAAATTTATAGCAACATAAAACATAATTAAAATCAAATTTAATTAAATTTTCCGACTTTATTTTATATTTCCAATTCATTTTGCTGTTTTCTTACATTAAATATTTTAAGTATTGCCTTCGATTTACACAGCTTCACATTCCTCATTTTACAAGCTTACCAACTCATCGTGCGATTCCCGATGAAAGAGTGGCTTATGATCATCGGGCTTGTGCGTCACCGGCACTGAATCGTAGGTAATGTGCGCAATGTGAGTTAATGGTGCCACAATGTCAGTGGCCATATGCTCAGCGGATGCGGCAACCGCAACAGCAGCAGCAGCCTCATCATCGACAATATCATTCACAGCAGCAACGTTGGTACTCTGTTCAACAGCCGTTTGTAATTTTGACTGCATTTCAGTGTCAATATCTGGCAATATTGTTGTGGGTTTATTAGCTGATGCTGATTCTGCAATCACTTCCTTAATTGTAGGTGCTGCTTGGCTGGTGGTGCTCGTACACAAAAACCACAACAGCATTAAGGTCAACAACCGCATCTGTGAAAGTTGTAAAAATTGTTGATGAGCTCAAGGTTACGACTGGCATCGCCGGTGTATTTAAACTCATTATCATTATCTGAGATGCGCAAACAACAAATCTTTATGTACACACAAAGAATCCTTAATATAAGTATGTATATGTATCTGCTTAAGCACTTGTACTTGTACTACTTGTACAAAATCACTCACATCGATATTAAAGAACGACATTCTCTGATATGAAACTTGTTGAAGTTTATTGCTTTTTTATTCAGATTATTATATTCTTCTATAGGTATGTTCTTTCGCACTATTCTTTTACCGACGTTGGTCACAAACCTGCTGGCTTTCAGTAGACCTTGGCTTCTTAAATTAAACTACGACACCTGTTTTCTTGTGCGTGGCATTTTATAAAGTTCTACTTGCCTCCAATGGGTAATTTGTCTTCGATGCAGACATTCATTTTCACATGCATGCATACATACATACCTAAAATGTAAAAACCCTGTAGGAACTTGCGAAATTTCGCAAAACTTACGAAAACCGCAGAGATTAGGGTGGGTCAATGCTAAAATGGAATATAACAGAGATATTTAAGAAAGCCCACTGTATGCGATTACGGGTGAAATATAATAATAGAAAAATCTCCGCTGCGGATTGTAACTTTAACAGAATTTTCAATAAATCTAGACCACATATTGAAATACATAGATCGGCCTGAATATGAGCACTGCGTTTAGTAATGTACTTATTCGAATAAGCTTATTTCTTATAAAATGTTGAGCAGACAGCAATTCCTACAGGGCATTTAATTATGTGATGTGATTTACGTACGGTGACCAGATTTCTGCGGCCAAAAATCGGGACATTTCTAAATCATCGAATCTGAAAAAAAAATTTTGTTTTTAGAATAAAAAGACATAACATCTTTTAATACAGTTTCATTTAAAGCAAAACAAAGAAAAAAAATAAAAAATTATCGCAAAAATCTATACACACAATATATACGGTGGCGAGAATGTAAATAGGGAAAAGACATTTTAGCAAATTTTGGTTACTTTTCTTTGTTTAAAAAATGTTTATTATTTTTTTATGAAAATATAACTTACTATCTAAAAAACAACATGTAAGTCAAAATTTAAAACCTTATAAAAAATTCGACGAATTTTAACAAACGTTGGTCAAAGTTTTAAACATTTTCATCAGATTTTCTGGAATTTTCTTGAGTATGCAGTTTTGTAGCATATTAAATTTTAGTATAATAAAGGGAAAGTTTGAAGTAGTACCCTTGATTTTTGGCAATTTTTTGTTCGCGCCTTTTCTTCAATCTAAAGTACCTAGTTTGTTTAAAATTTTTTTTATATGGAGAAAATGAGCAACAACTTCCACAAAAGGTTTACCAATAATCAACGGTACTCATCAACGTTTCTAAGAAATCTGATTAAAAAGCTCCAAAATATTAATGAATCTTTGTCGAATTTCGTGCATTTTTGTACGAAGTTTCAAGTTTTGACTTACATAGTCTTTGTTTGATAACGAGCTACACTTTCGTAAAAAATAATAAACATTAATACTAACCATTAAATAATCGAGAGGAATACCCAAAGAATGCTAAAATGTCTCTTCCCTATTTATATTTTCGTCACTGTAGCTATAGCTTTTATTTTTTATATCCATGATTTTTTCGAGAGAATTAGTATTATTTTTTTTTAATTTCAGTTAATTAAAGTTAGAATCATTTCATTCAAAAAAAAACACCAAACAAACAATTGGAAAGACATTAAAAATATTTAGACAATATAGCGAGAACATTAGTTTGACAGAATAAAACATAACTAAAGATCATAGAAAACAAGGATGTTGGCTATGTTTATGGCTCCCTTATATTCTATGTCCTTTGTGAAAAGGAAAGTGCTGCCTCGTTCGTACGAAAAACTGTTTTTGGGCCAGAGTACAGGGAGACTCTAATTAAATTAATAAAGACAACACTGAAAACCGGAACTTAATCGGTACAAATATGAAAAATCTTGACACTTATACGTCCCGAATTTAAAAAACTATTCAGCGGGACAATTTTCTCAAAATCGGTACGAATGGTCACCGTAGATATATGCTTATTTCTTTATATGTATTTATTGATACCTGCATACCTGCATATGTAAGTATTTGGTTCTTGCACGAGTGCTTTTCATGCTTGATTACGTGCCTGTCTTCGATAAATTTATTATATCTTCAACAACGAGTCTACCTTTCCTTATTGCGCATTACTTCCTTTGTTTAAGACCTTTTTCATTTTCTTTTATGTAGGACTCAATCAATACATTCCTATTTGCCATTACCATATTTTGTATGAGTAAGAATATATGTATTGTAAAATACTTTTTACTTGTAAGTGTGTATAAAATTACATTTTTAACAAATTAATTCATGCATTCTTTTATATAAAATAGAATTGTGTTTCCTTTTTTTTCTATATTTCTTTCATTCTCTCCTTTTACACTTTGATCTTTCTTTCTTACTTTGCTGCTTCTTTCTTTATTTCTTTCTTCCACGTCTTCTATGAACTACCCGGAGTTATTGTCATTTATCGTGCAGTTATTTAATTTTTTATTCATTTCATTTGCTGTGGTAATGAACTTCATCATTATCTTCATTCGTTATCAGTTATCTTTTACGTCGTTCCAACAATGTATGGCTTGTTGCAACTTCACATTAAACTGGTTTTCAAGTTCAAGTTCATTTAATCTACCGGCAAAATGTGTGTAAAAGTTGACATAAAAATGTGGCAAATACGTATGTATGTATACATATATCGCCAAAATAACGTAAGCGACATTTTTTTTTTTAATTTTCTTTTCGATGCAGAAATGCATCTAGATGCTCTAGGAATATTTCTGCATCAAAAATAAAATTTAGAAAAAAATGTCTCGTTATTTTGTGGGTTAGAGCTCGATATGTACATGCTAATACGAGTGATTTTAGTACTGGTTGCAAGTAATTAAAAAATATATATATATATTCAAATATTTAGTCTTTGCATTTATATATCCAAATCAAACTAATAATTTAATTTCAATTTATTTACTCTAATTTACTTTTATTTACTGCAAATGGAAAAATGAATAAAATCACGTTCAGTGTTGCCAGATCTAAAAATTATTTATTTTTAAAAGTAAACATAATGGTTTTCAGGGTGCTAAGTAATCTACGATAAACAAGTCGACATTTATACCTTAGATCCTTCGTTCGATTTTAGTTTGTAAAAAAGCAGAAATAAAGGTATGTATTGAATTCGGTGATCCACTCAAGGCATATTATTTTTAGAAAAAAAGTTAAAAGCCTTCGACACATAGAGTACAGTAACTTTTATACCATCCTAAACAAAATGAAGCCCATAGCATTACCATTAGCCATTTATCATGCGGAATAATACATCGATATTTGATCTATATCCTTTGTTTTAGCAAATTTTTGTTTTAATTTCTACGCTGCACTAAATGGAATTTGTTATCAGACTAATTGTTTTTTATTGAACAGAACAACGAAAGCCGCTGTGTCCATTACAGCCAATATGCTTAGAGATGTATGTGTCTCTGGGTAAAGGACAGAATTCAACTATTAATCCTCTCGTAAGACCAGTTTATGTAAGTCCAGACATTGTGTGAGAGCATTGAAGGGAGCATGCAGACG